AAAGACTTAACTTTTTCTGAAAACATTCTAGTCAAGAAACCTTCAAATATTGATTTCTCCTATTAGTTCCAAATTGCCAAATCAATAATGTATAATCAGAACAAACTGATTCATCTATATAGTCTCAATTTTACTTCCAATTCAAGATAAGTAACCACAAAGTTGAGAAAGTATAGTAAGTTCTTAATTGCCTGGATTAAAAAACAAAAAACAAACAAACAAAAAAGCAGCCTGAGTTAGATTTTGACATCCCTATTAAAACACCAAAAAAAAAAAAAAAAAAAAAAAAAACCAAGCTTGAGTTGTGGCTTAGTGGTAGAGTGCTGGCCTAGTGTGAGTAGGGCACTGGGTTCCATCCTCAGCACCACATAAAAATGAAATAAAGACACTGTGTCCACCTACAACTAAAAAATAAATATAAAAAATCAAAAAATATTACTTAGGGATATGTACATACACACATGTACAACACTAATTTTGTGTACATGGTCAAGTAGTTTTATAGTTCTGATTCATCATGTTCTACTACTATCACCAATTTAGAAATTATTAGGACTAGTAAAAGAAAAAAATGAAATGATTTAACTGCATTATGAAGTTTTATAGAAATATAAAACTCCTTTTTAACTTTAGCAACGGGGTAGAGATAAAATATATTTGTAATAGCATACATTATTTTAAGCTTATGTTTAATTCATTATATTTTATAAAACCAGTAACCTATGGCATATTAGACTATGTAATAAGTGGTTTCTGAGGATTGGGAAATACAATGGAAGATTAATGTCAAGTAGTTATTATTACAATCGGGAAGCTTGAAAATGCAAAATAAATAGAAGTTAAATAAAATGTCACATAGAATATTTCTAAAGACAACCGTCATCAGAACCAATCAATCTACTGGATTCTAAATGGCAATCACAATCCTCCATGGACTTTATGGAATATGAAAACAGCTTATCACTCTGAACACGTGCAAATAGAATATCAAAACAGCAAAGCAAATTAGCACTTGTTAAGCACTCACTTAAACTGCTGGAATCAAAATTATATAATTTCTAATTCTTATGGAGAAAAAATGGGGAAAATTCTATTGCTATTCACCATTTACTAAGAGCAGTGCCCTCTGCTCTCCTCTGCCCCCGCAAAAAAAAAAAACAAAAAACAAAAAAAAAACCTTTTGAGAAGACAGAGTTTACATATAAAATATCAGATGTTTAAGATATTTCTACACTATTTTTTTTAAAAAAGAGGCCAAGTTAAAATCATAAGCCTAGTTAACCTACTTGCTTAATAATACTAATAATGGATGTTCTATGCATGTGCATGCCCATGCAAAAGGAAAGAAATTCTTCAACAGACACTGAGTCTCCCAAATATGGTGTGTGTGACTAACAGCTGAGAGGAAATGCAACTGAAACTGTTTGCTAGAGATCCATTAAAACCTAGGCGCAGAAAAATGCTGGGTGACAGCAAAGTTGGATGTGCAAATTTGTGCAGGAATGTAGCCAAATTTTTCAATTCTCTCATAGCTTAGATTTATTGACAAATGGCCCTTTCTTTTTCAATTATAATGTTACATCTAAAGAACATCAGTTGAGATAGAAAACCTGCCTGGTCTTTAAAATAAATAGGACTAAGGTTTGAATTTACAAAGGCATGGAATTTCAACTAATACAAACAAAATATGGCACAAAAAAATTCCATGTTGGGCTGGGGATGTGGCTCAAGCGGTAGCGTGCTCGCCTGGCATGCGTGCGGCCTGGGTTCGATCCTCAGCACCCTACAAACGAAGATGTTGTGTCCGCCAAATACTTAAAAAAAATAAATATTAAAAAAAAATTCCATGTTCCATAAAACTTGCCAATGTACCTCTCTCAAATCAGTACCTTAGAAAAAATAGCCATACTGTTTTCACACTTCATTCTACAATTGACTTTGAATGTATTTGTAATTTTAAAATTTTTCAGCGGACTCTTTGTGGATCATATATTCTCTGAAGGGAATAGGATTAGAAAAAAGTATGTATTTTAAAGCATGTGGTCCCAATACATTAATTTACAGATTTCCTTATGCTCAATCTCTGCTTGTTCTTAGGGGTAAACTAAATACTTAACTCCTTTACAGATCATTTAATAACCACATTTTATTTCAGTCACTTTGTACTTGGTCTCTTCTTTGTTCTCTAGTTGCATGTTTTGAATGTTTTTTCAAAAAATGAAAGCATGATATTTTCCTTTAAAATTTTATTATTTAATCTGGGGGGTTAGACTGTATACATTACAAAGTACAATATTCTATAACCAGCTCTAATTGTGTGATGACCCCAAATAAAGTTGTTGAACATTTTATAGAAAAAGTACTACAATTTTTCCAGAATTATTATAGGTAAAAATGACACAGCACTGTGCAATTGAAGAAGTAATCCTCACAGAATTCACTGAATGCTCAAAACACCCCATGAAGTTGGGTGCAGTGGCGCATGCCTGTAATCCCAGCAGCTCAGGTGGCTGAGGCAGGAAGTTCTCAAGTTCAAAGGAAGCCTCAGCAACAGAGAGGTGCTAAGCAACTCATTGAGATCCTTTCTCTAAATAAAAAAAAAATACAAAATAGGGCTGGGGATGTGGCTCCGTGGTCAAGTGTCCCTGAGTTCAATCTCAGGTACCAAAAAAAAAAAAATCCCATGATTATGTTTTCCTATTTTACTGAAAAAGAACCAGAGATGGAAAAAGGTAAGTGATTGAACCAAAGTTACATACCAAGCAACAGGCAGAGCCAAGATTCAAATTGGGCTCTCACAGCTAAATCAAATCCACCACTATAATTATAATGTTCCAATTCTTTCATAAATAATCTAATTTGATCATTACAACAATCTTATTAGAGTACAGTAGCAGCTAATATTCACCAAATACATATAACGTGGCAGATACTATTGTTCTACACTGTAGTAATTCATTTGCTGCATGCAAAACTCTATAAGGAAGAGTTTTATTATTACCCTATTTACAGATTAAAAAAAAGAAAACAACTGAAGCTCAGAGAAAAGAGGGCAAAATGCCCAAGATCACATGGTTAGTAGGTATAGATAGGAATCAGAATTCAATCCCAACCATTTGGGTCCAGTGCTAATGACATTCTTCACTTGTTCGTTTTTAGGCAGGTTAACATAAAGCAGATTAAGAAACTTGCCCAAAGTTACCAGAAAAAAAAAATGCAGAGGAATAACAAGAATTTCTTCTAACTCTTCACCCTAGCTAGTTTTTCAACATGTAGTGAAATACTCGGAGTCATTAAATCCAGAAAGGGCAAGAAGACTTGGGTGCAAGTGGTTTTGTGAAGCACAGTTTGAGAACAGTTGAGAGACACTGGCAAAGTGGCAGGGAGAAGAAATTCCATCAGGCTAATCAGGCTAGGGAAGATTTATCTTCCATAAATTGGAGGCAGAACAGAGTAAAACATACGTAAACATGGACAAGGGTATTTGTCATTCTGATGTAGAATTATGAAGTGGTGTGGATGAAGAGGTATGACTCTAATCAAGGAAATTAGTAGAAGTGCGGCACTAGACTAAGTTGTTTTGAGAAAAGATTTAAAGTGACCAAAAGATTTGGAATAGGTTTCATAATGGCTCCAAAAGAAGTGAGACCCCCCACACTTGTCAAAATGATATAATCCTACACACCAAAAGAAATAAGGTAATCACTGAACAAAATCTACTCATTTTTCTTCTTCTTTTTTTCTAAAATGGTATTCATAGTTTAGCAACTTCTTTTTCATTGTTAACTTACTATGGAGTAGAGACTAAGGAAGGGAGAACATAATTAGCACAACATGCTTCTCATTAGTTTTCATACCAAGATTCTATGATGCTGGTTACTTTAGCAATAGATCTGCCTCAGATGCATATTAAAATCAGATGAAGGAAATTACAACAAAATTCCATTCAAATGAATAAACTGAAATGCCAACTTAAATCTAAAGTACATGTTAAAAGTAGAATTTGCAATGAATTAAAAAAAAAAAAGCACTGGATAAAGGCAATGATCCCAGGACATCAGTAAGAAGTACTTTTGAAAAGCCATGTTAAATGAGGAAAACTGGAAAACTAATGGAATTTCTTCTCTCATTACCTAAAATAAACCAGGACACTGAAATGGGCTTACACTATAGTATTTTGTTCATTTTAATTTCATTTTTATTTCATCAAACCACAAATTCCCATGGAAATACCTCATACACGTGCCCACAATAATTGGAATGCCTAACATTTCAGTATAAGTACTTTTGCAAGAGTTCAACAAAATAAAAAGAATGCAGTGATATTCCTCCAAGTTTTCTGCTTATGTCAACCGCTATTTTATGATTATTAAATTATCTCTGTGACTGTAAACTGCATGTGTAGAATACATTAAATGATCCCATGTGAAGTCTTAAGTCAGAAGACCACATAAAGATCTAAACTACACACAGGAACATCAAAATCAAGCTGAACTTCTTAGAATATAACAATCATAATTTTTTCTCCTGAAGCCATTACTGTTAAATATAACTTGATGAATTAAGTTCAAGTGTAACTACAATTGAAATATATGATTCACCTGAGCTATGACCTATTTTTCCTCTCAAAAGCAAACAGGAATCATGACAGTTGTAAGACATATTTTTCCATTCCAGGATCCTCTAAAACTTCTTTTACAGTACAGTTAAAAGTAAAATGAACTTATTGACATTTATTTGCTTTACAAAATAGTTACTTATGTTACTGCTCATAACACAGAATTTTAGTGATTTATTAAATAACAACAATTATATTTGGTCATTTATTTTCAAACTGTACAGACCAAGAGGCATTCAGGAAAGAATAATGTCAATATGTAATATGATATCTACATCTAAAATTCAATTATAATTACATGACATATTCTCTTATAAGAAAATCAACAATTAGCATGACAAATAAAAAAAATCAACATATATATATGGATGAAAATACCCACCCCTAGCAGAAAGCTTTTTGGTGTTGATAATTTTGGCAGCATACTCTTGTCCGGTAGGGATTTTCATACATCTTCTGACCACTGAGAATGCCCCCCTGGAAACCAATAATTAGCAGGTTATCAATATAATTGGACCTAGCATTCTATTAAAAATTTACAAAACTTGAACATTTTTAACTGATTTGGGTGGACTATTAAATATCAATGTAACACAGCAATATTCAGAAAATGAACAATTCTTCCTGGAAACCCACACCTTCTTAATGTTAAAGAATAAAATCAATTTTATTTAGCTGGAAGCACACATTACTAATCAACAAAATGAAAGGAACTGCCAATTATGACCGCTCTTGTTTGCACATGAAATTTGAAAACATTTTGCAATTCACACTCACAGCACCAAATGCTCTGAGAAAACCTTGCAAAGCACTGAGCTGAGGAAGAGCAGCAAAAATCTGCTGCCTATTTATTTTAGTGGGGAAAAAAAATTAATGTGACTCCAAGTAAGTAAATATGGCGATTATTTTCATTAAAATATAAATCTTGAGCACACTGATGTGCTTTAACAAATTCTGATATGGTGATTTCTCCATGTCCTGTTTTAGGCTGGGGGAGGGGAGAGGGTTGAATTAAGCTGCTCTTCCGACATATTCTCCATGTTTTAACAGCAGACAATATAAAAAGGTGGTTTTGACGACATTTAAAAATATTTATTTCCTTCAATTCAACCATATAATCCAACAATGCCTCTGAACGCACCCCTTTCAAAAAAGTGGAAACTAGCGATGGAGAAATTGGATTTGGGTTTGATGCTACATAAATCAACATTCATGACTCTGCCCCTAGGTTCCTTTGCACAGATCCTCTGTAGGTATTCTGTCCTCTTCCTTAACATTTCCAAGTAGTTCTTGCCAGTTAAGCGTAGGAGGTCGTTTATACAACGCTAGGCTACCCTTGGGAAGCGCTCTCCCAGTCTCCAAAGGGCTTTTCCGCTGCCTGTATAAATAAATCCTCCCAGAGAATGCAAAGATGCACACATAAATCCTAGGAAGAATGATGGTGAGCGAGTAATCTAGCGCAAAGAATAATAGCGAATATAGGGCAGGGGGTTGGGTTCTGTTGGGTGGCCCTTTTCCTGGACAGAAGTACTGGATGCGAAACAGACTCTACATCAAGCCAAGTTGAACTTTCGGCATCAATAAATATGGCACTGTCTGTGGCAGTGAGCGCTCATTCGTACGTGGGTCAGACTGCGGACAAGCGGGCTAACCAGGAGGCATCTCTATTTACAGAAAACGTGATATATGTTGCATTTTACATGGGTTCTTGCTTCCTCTCCAAACACATACACGCGCGCGCGCACACACACACACACACACGCACGCACACTTCTGGGGATGACAGCTACAACTGCAGAGACCGTAAATTCACTAAGTCTCTCCCTGCAAGAGGGTGGGGAGCGGGAAAAGGTGGGCTAAGGATTGTGGCAGCGGGCCACAGTCGGAGTAGGGGGCTCTTACCCTCCCCTGTTCCCTTTCCTTACTAAAAGCACCTTTCCCAGAGAGACAAATAAGGGGCCCTCCTCCCTCTCCTCCGGTCTCCAGAACTCCCCTGCCCACACCAGAGGTGAATGGGTCGGGAGCAAAGCGACCCTCCCTCTGCTGGAAAGGGGACGTGCGATGCCGGGCAAAGGCGCTTACTTTCCGAGCTCCTCGAAAAGCTGATACTCGTCGGTGAACCTGGTGCAGGTGGTGGTCGATGCCATCCTCGGTCCGGGCTGTGCCCTGGCTGGGAGCGCGACTGGCGAGAGGCGAGCAGACGCGCGTCTTCCCTGGGACTGGCCCCGCGGCGCTGTCACCCAGAGCCGCCCTCACTTTCCTCGTCCCAAAGTAGCTCACCCGCGAGGGAGTGTGCGCAGGGGCGGGGCGGGAGGGGAGATGACCAGAAAGGGTGGTGTGGGGTCTGCTCCCCACAGTCCGTCGATCCTCCTCCGCCTGTGGGCCTCGCTTCCTTCTTTCCTGGACGCTTCGCCTGTCCCCTTTCTAGCCCCTCTCCCCAAATGTAGGGGGCAAAGTACTCAAGAAGGAGCAGGGAAAGGGAAAAACAGTCGGGCACGGGGCGACAGGCGAGCAGTTGCGAAACGATCCACACCAGGGGCAAGGGTGGAGGGGAGGGAGTCCGAACGGGTGGAGGCGGAGTGCAGAGGGGCTGAGGCCGCGGAGCCCGGAGCGGACAGCGCGAGCCCAGCTGCAGCTGTCAGCAGGCGCGGGCGCGGGGCGCGCCTGGACTCGGCCGAGCGTGCGCACGCGGGGCCAGCTCTCTCCAGCGAGCAGCGGCGGCGCTGGCGGCGCCGAGCACCTCGGCGGCCTCGCGGTCCCCACGAGCCCAAGAGGCTTGGAGACGGTGCGGAGAGAGAAAGAGCGCTCGGCTCGGGCGAAGCCTCGTAGACCGTCCCTGGGCCTCTGTCTCCTCCCCCAGCACCTCCTCCCGCCGCTCCCTCCGCCTGCCAGCACCCCCTTCCTCGCGAAGCCCCCTCCTCGCCGGTCCCACACCTCCCTCTAGCGACTCCAACCGCGTCCCTTCCAGGCTCTGTTTTCCTCCCCTGGTCTCACACTGGAGCACACCCGTCTAAGGAAACCTGGTGGGAGGAGGATGTGCGGGGGAGAAGCCTGTAGAGGATTTTGGTGAATGAAGAGTGGGTCAAAATTACCCATTTAAACCGGAGAATCCTTCCTCAAGCTGGGGCTTCCTGACCGGGAAAACACGGGGCAGATCGTGCACCCACAGGGGCTGCCGCCGGGGGGTCGCAGAGGCCCGCGCCCTTTGGGGTGGCGGGCACTAGGGAAGTCTAGGCGAGGGGCGCAACCACTACACGTCTTGTCGCTCAGTGTTAACCCGGCAGGGCCGGATGTGGGCATCTGACTGCTTCCACAGAAGGGTCCTAACCTCCCACGGCCTCCCAGCGACTGTAGGGGACCAACCCAGCTCAAGCCCGCGTTCGCCGCGCCTAACGCGGCTCAAGACACGGGTTGTCTCCCTCCCACGCAACCTTTTTAGCTAGGGCCGAGGACAGCCGGTGCGCCACGTTTCACTTCAGATTTGACTCTCACTTCTGTTCAGCCAGCTCCCCTAGTGTTTTCCAGGTGGGTTGGTTAGACTCTGGCAATCCCCAAAGGCCTTTAACTTGGCCTTGAATTTTAACAGAATGAAAGCAAAAACACCACCCTGCCACACCTTCCTTTCCCTTCAGAGTAATTCCCCCAGTAACCTAAGTAAGTTCTGATAGTAAGGCCAGTTCTCGCGAGCTTTCCCGCTCCGGTGGCGGGGGCGGGATAGTAGGCAAGGTTGGGTGTCGGTCACGCGACCCAGTGGGGGCTGACGTCACTCGCGTCACATGAACTTGTCTAGTCTGTTTCGCTTTGTAAAGGGAAAAGGAAAAGGAGAGGTCGTGTGTGCTTCGCTTGCAGGCGCAAAGATTCAAACAGATAGTGGCACTTGAGTATTCTCCGTAAATGGTAATCTGGAAAACCAACTGACAGTTCAGGAATGTCTACCATTGTTTTCCGTAATTAGGAGAAAAATAATTATTCATTACATTTAAGCTAGATAAATAGTTGTTGATTGTTAAAATAACTTCCTGGGCCTGCTTTTCACTTCTAGGTCTTTAATATAAACCACGCAACTGCAAATTTAGAGGCAGACCAAAAACAAAAGCATCATGAATAGTCTTCTTTAAATTGCTGCCTTTTGTTCTACAGCGCAAGGACTTGCATTCCTGTTGGTAATTTGCTCCTCTTTAGTTCATTTTCAACTTAAAACTTTACAGCTGGAAGATAAAAGATAATTTACATTTACGGAGAATTTAAGATTTAAAGGTGGTGTTGCTTGTTCCCAGAGGCTATTAATTAGTAAATTACCTTACCCGCAATCAGGCTTGATCCTAATTTTTTTATTTCCTGATCTAAGGAATGTGGTTCTGCCAGTGACCTCCTTTTACTGAAATACTCAAGATACGTAAATGTTTTTAAAATGCTCTGGGATTTTTGTTGCTGTTGTTGTTGTTGGTTGCACAGTTTACAAGAATTGCCAACATCTCAGATATCCCTCCCCCACCTCACCAATAAATATTTCTGTGTTAAACTATTATTCAATGTCTGCATCGTTCTATGAAAATGTTATTTATAATAGAATGTTAAGCTTTACTATGATTTTTTTCCTGATCGCCTTTATTTGTATCTGTTGCTAATTCTTCCAGTAGACTGAGTACAGTTTTCAACAATGCCAAACACATTAGGTCATCCATAGGTTGCAATTTTTTTCTTGTGTGTGTTCTAATTGAAGACCTCTACTGTTTAGCTGCCATCATAGAACATCATTTGCTTCATCTTTAAAATTCTTTTTGCCCTTTCTCTAGTTTGGATCCCTTGGTCCTTGCATCTCTTGTCTTTAATGTAGTTCATAAATTTTAACACTTGTTAGGAAAAAAATGAAGTTTGTATGAGTCTTGATTCCCAGCCTTCTAAAGCAAGAATCACATTGTGTAAAATATAGTGGTATAGCACAAAATGATACCAAAAACTACATAAAGGAATGAAACCTGCTGTTTAAACATTAATAATTGAGCTATAAATTGAAAAAAACAATTTGGTATTGACTAAGAATTTTTAATGTACATCTCAAATATTTAGTACTATATCTCCAATTTATAATGAAATAATTTAATATTCTTCCCTGACTCTAAAATTGAAACAGAAAAAGTAAAATTAAAACAATAAATAAAGATAATATAAAATTTTTACAGCTCTGGGAGGAAAATTGTTTCTTAAATATTCCAGTAATGAAGTTTTACATAATTATAGTATTTATCTCAGTTATTTAAACTACCAACAATGGTTATGATAATTGTGCAGTACAATAAAAAAAACAATGAGTTTAATGTTGATGTATGATCAGACAATTAATGTGTACATTTTTTAATAAAAAGCCCTGGTTGCTTAATCTACATTTGCTCTGTTCTTTAATCTATATTTTGAACTAATTAAAATATTTCTCTTATTTAAGTAAATAGTCACTGTTATTTCTGAAGTTTGAACCTCCTTAAGATAGTAATTAGATTAAAATATTTTTTTACTTTAACAGCATTTCTGAAATAACTACAAAATACAGTTAAATAATAAAAGGTATAGACCCATAAACATAGACAAACATTAGATGTTGTGCTTCAGTTTAGTGCCAGATATGTTTCATCAAACATGCTTAACTGTTCCCAAGAGTAAAACAGAGGAGGAATAAGGAGTTAAGAGATGGAGTTTTTAAGAAAAAATTATTCACAAAACTTGGATGACAAGGCAGGTTTTATTCAAATTGGGCAATGTTGATAGGGACCACTGCAACTGGAAGAGAGATTGTATTCAACTCCAGCTCCAACAAGGACAAGTGGCAATTTATAACCAAGGAGCATGGTGGAGGTCAGTGTGTGTAAAATTCTCTCCCTCTCATTTAGCTACTTGCAATTAAAAATTGCAGGACTTTAATAGAGTCACCAGGAAGATGCAAGTTTCTCATATTTAAGTATATAAAGGCAGATATTAATATTCATGGATTTTCCTTGATACAAGTTACAAGACAAGAAACAATGAAGAAATAATGTTATCTCCATAGTTGGCTCAGTGCAAGTTCCAAGTAGATTTTTTTGTAAAATTTGTTAGCAAGACTGTATCAGCAGAATTTGAGTCTTTTGTGCACCTGTAATGATTTTCACTTACAGATAGCTGTTTTAGCATTTATTACACTGGACTACAGTCCAGATCATTAGCCAGATTCAGAGGCAATGAGTAAATAAGCAACTTGCTATTGATTTTTCCAGTTGACCTTCCCATGTGATAACTTAATGACACAGAGCCAGATACAGATAGAGTCTAAAGCCAGACATAGATATGGTCTGTGCATGAGCAGAAAGCCTGTTCACTGCACCATCTATTAGTGCAAGACAAATTCAATTTGCAGAGAGAGAAACTATCCATAGAACAAAAGCTAACAACAGAAAATATTTTGTTTCATCAGTTACTGAAATAATTTTGTCCTGAAAATGTGTAAATAAACAAGAAATGAAGAGGTATTTACACAATGGAGGAGTGGCATTTTTTCTCCCCATCATCCAAGTACGTATATTGGTTAGCAAACTTGTTTCTTTATGAATAATTATACATACATATCTAATGCTTACTGAAAGACTTGTGGTAAGAAATTATATAAGATGAAAAGCGAAATAACTATAAAATACTGTAGTTATTAATAAATTAAATAAATTGATTAGATTTTGAGCTTTATTTTGTGCACATGCAATGATTCTCATGTACAGCTGTTTTGTCGTTAATCAACTGGACTGTACTAAGACCAGTAGTCACTTTGTGGCAGAACTGTCATTCATTCCCACATTATAGCAGTTGCACAGAGGTGTTGCCATAATAAGTACTCAAAAAAAATATTTCTTAAACAAATGAATTTACAGTATCAAAATGTCTTTGTCTTCCAAAATACACAAAACTTCCCAATCTTTAATAGGCTTTAATGAGCCCTCTTTGTTGCTATATTTAATGGATCTTTTTTCAAGTAACTTGATTTCTTTGTATCCTTTTATTTATTTATGTTTCTTTTTTATTTATTAATTTTTAAAATTTATATATGACAGCAAAATGCATTACAATTCTTATTACACAAATAGAGCACAATTTTTCATATCTCTGGTTGTATACAAAGTATACTCACACCAATTCATGTCTATACATGTAAGAGTGAAGTAGGTGGTATCACTATACCAGATCTTAAACTATTCTATAGCGCAATAGTAACAAAAACAGCACTGTATTGGCACTAAAACAGACTGGTAGAGCAATGGTACAGAATAGAGGACACAGAGACTAACCCCCAAATTACACTTATCTTATATTAGACAAAGGCACCAAAAAACATGCATTGGAGAAAAGATAGCCTCTTCAACAAATGGTGCTGGGAAAACTGGAAATTCATATGCAACAAAATGAAATTAAACCCCTATCTCTCACCATGCACAAAACTCAACTCAAAATGGATCAAGGACCTAGGAATAAAACCAGAGACCCTGTGTTTAATAGAAGAAAAAGTAGGCCTTAATCTGCATCATGTAGGATTAGGCCCCAACTTCCTTAATAAGACTCCTGTAGTGCAAGAATTAAAATCAAGAATCAATAAACGGGATAGACTCAAACTGAAGTTTCTTCTCAGCAAAAGAAACAATCTGTGA